AATGGGCCTGGCAAGAAGGAACAGATGGACCACAAAAATTACAGCATGGTATCCACCAGGAATTAAGAAACCTAGAAGAAAACACTAAACCTAAATTGGGATCAAGACATTATGAAATTAGCAGAGATAACTTGAGCCCTCACAGCCAACAGCATAGACTGCAATGGGTCCAATTACAAAGAGATTATCTAAATATGTGAGGGAGGTACCATATAATTGGAAATGGTTGAATAAGCTCAATATGATGACAATGAAAAAAGTGATTTATTTGATATATTTTAAAAACCATTCATTGATTTTGCACTTACATTACATTACAGGTAATAAATATTGCGATTTTTATAATTACTGTCTCAAAAATAGCTGAAGATGACATACATATTGTTGTTTTTTGATGATTAAAAAACTCACAGTAGTATAATATAAAGTAATACTACTAATGTGTTTGGCACATCGTGTATTTGACACACAGTAATGGAATAGCGGTTAATGATAAATCTTATCATTAAACGCTATTTATTTATTTATTCATCGTATGGCTCGTACACATGGAATAAAAACAATACAATGTTCATAAATATAAAACAAAACATCAGAAAAGTACAAACACAACAATATAAGGACGAACAGAATGTAAAAAAGTATGTATATCAAATATTTACACTCATAGAATCAATCCAGTCGACTGCTGTCTGAGGAAGATCAAGGAAGTCATTTACTGTGCCAGTGCGATAAGCCGTCATCTCGCAATCCTGCACTATGTGGCGGATGGTCTGGTTCCCCCTGCCGCAGCTGCACAATGGATCAGCGATCTTTTTCCATTTATGAAGCGAGTCTCTACATATTCCGTGGTTTGAACGTATCCTATTAGCGATTTTCCAAACACGACGTGGTAGATCGAAACCAGCAGGTTTGTTATCAGGGTTTAGGCGAAAACTCACTTCTGGGGTAACTACTTGACACCACGAATGTTTCCATGTCTCGCTGATACTAAAGTTGTCATCACACAGCTTTTTGGCGGTCTTGACAGTAGGAAGTCTAGATTTAAGTCTACTCGACGATGCCGCAGTTATATCCTCGTGTATATGCGTCATAATTTTCTTGTACTCTCGAATTAGAGTCTCTTGTCTTCTTAGTTCTGGTGGTGCTATATGGCTCAGTGTTGGCAACTAGAAGGAGGGAGTAGTTTATATACAGCCCGTGATGAGACGCATGGTTGAATTCAGCTGTACATCTAGCTTGTGGGTGTGGTGGCTATTCAGCCAGACTGGTGCGCAGTATTCAGCAGTACTGAACACAAGACCCAGTGCTGCGCATCGGAGGGTGGAGGCAGTAGATACCCATGTCGATCCGCATAATTTTTGTATGATATTATTCCTGGACCTGACCTTCGCTGACGTCTTCTCCAGGTGTGGCTGATATGTAAGAGTTCTGTCAAGTGTGACACCTAGGTATGTTGGTGTGGGATTGTGCTTAACAGGGTTTCCATTGAAGTATATGCTAAGTCGGCGAGAAGCTTGCTTGTTGTTTAAATGAAAACATATACATTCGGTTTTATTTGGGTTCGGAGACAGCCTCCACTTTTTATAGTATTTCCATAATACTTCCAAGTCGTCTGTCAAGACGGCCTCCTTACGGCAAGGGCAAGGTCGTCGGCGTACGCAAATTTTCTACTGGTTGTCGTTGGAATGTCGGAAATGTAAAGGTCGAAGAGAGCCGGTGCGAGCACAGATCCCTGAGGCAATCCATTTTTAATGATCCTTTGTTGCTGTATCTCTAGTCCATTACTACACGAAAGAACCTATCGCATAACATATTATTTAGGAGAGAACTAAGTGTTCTGCAGGGGATAAGTTTTAGGAATTTATACAGTAGTTCCTCTCTCCACACCGTATCATAGGCAGCTGATAGGTCCACGAATACTGCCGATGTTTTAGTTGTCTCTGAAAGCCTGCTTCAATATAAGTTGTAAGGCTGAGGACTTGGTCAGTACAGCTACGACCTCTTCTAACTTATTAACCGCTATAATTCTTGGTTATCCCATCTCTAGTTTGTCACAGTTGAGGGTTGGAATCTTTGGAGTTACAATAGCAAAATAAAACACTAATTCACCACAATACACAAAAACACTTTATTTTGCACTATACGCGCGTTTCAATAACCAAGTTAGCATCATCAGCACATGATTAAAATAACTCACAGTAATATATAAAGTAATAAACAAAGTTTTTTGCAGTATCTGCTGATACTGCCTAACATGCTTAGCTAAACGCGTGTCCAGTGCATAAGTAAAGTGTTTTGGTATATTGTGGTGAATTAGTGTTTCATTTTGCTAGTGTGTTACTAAAATTTTATATGTGTTTAAGAAAATGGAGCGTGTAATATGTTAAAAAGCGGTCACAGTGACTATATTAAAAAAATAATATTAGGTGCATCATAAAGTTAAATAATGAAAACAAACAAATTGTTTTTATTGCTGCTAACTAATAAAAAAAAATAACTGAAATCATGAGCTATGATGCTCCAAAATTAGAGATGGTGTATATTGTATTCGCAATAAATAAACCCGAATGGTTATTTATAGTAATATATAAATTTATGTGTGAGTCACACATACGAAGTACTTCTACTAACTGATGAAGGGTTGTTATAGTTTTATTACACCGAATATTAACTTAATAAACTGTGCGCATTACTTTCAATTACGTTTGAACGTTGCAATGTAAGGTCACTAGCACTTTTTTGTTGTAAATTTTACCAATCTTTAATAAAATATTGCTAAATCATTGCTGACTTTTATAATAGAAATAAAATTTCAGAATGTCTTACATTGACATTTTTCAGTTCTGCTTCAAGTTAAACAAAAAACAAATAAGTTAGAATTAAATAATAATAAAAAATAACTTAATTAAAAATAATATAAATACCATACGATCAAAAAAACAATGTTCAAGTGGGCATTGACTTTGATCATTTATTAGGTAACTTTGTTCATATTAGACACGCTTCTACTTAATACTTTTTGATCATACTACCTGTATATCAAACACGAGATATTCTGCAATATATTCATTACAAGATTAATAATCAGATTAAACGTTTAAGTATGTTGAAATTTAGGTTATGTTAACTAGAAGGCGGATGTTAGCCAACAAAAAAGTAATTTTAATGGCTGATAGTTTAGTAATATCGAAGACTCGACGTTCTTTTAATAAAAAAAGTATTTGCATATTCCGCGAATCGGGTTTTGACGACATTTACCCACCCTAACGCCGGAAAGTTGTAAATTAACCGCCTCTATGCCGGCGAAAAGTTTTTAAACCGTTGTTAGCCCGAAAGCGACCCTTAAAAACCTTTTAAAGTTTGCCAAAGGCCAACTTTTTCCTTTCAGATGCTTCTAATAGCATTTTGTTGTATCGACGTTACGGTATATTTGTCTTAACGGTGTACTGATTGATATATTTAACATACTGAGTTAATTACAACTCGTTAACATTTTAATTGCGATAAAACGTAAACAAAGTCTTCCAGGCTGCATTTAGAGCTAATTGCATATGCGTTTAATTATTTTCATTGCATTTACGGACATTATTATTTAAGTTAATGAATATGAATCATCATATAGTCTTAGAACTTGGATAAAAGCCAGTACCTGAGACGGTTTTACAGAGGTTAGTTCTCCAACTCCAATATCAGTCGTACCCAAGTTTACGGCTCGAATGGTTGTTGTCTCGGCGTATACCGTGATGAGGTGTTCTGGTGTTTCCCCATTTTCCCCAAAGAATCTGCAACTCGAAGATTGCTCTTACTTAAATCAATTTTTGATTTTTCTCCTCTCCCTATCCTCTCCTGCCCTATCCTATCCCTTTTCCTGCTTTGGTTTTGGAAGCATCGGTATACCACGTTATGGTACGATCTTTTAACTGCTGAGCAAACGTTTCTTTCTTCCAACTCTTTGTTGCTCAATACTGCATAGAGAAATTTTTCTCAAAGCTATACATTCTCCCAAGCTTCTGAGCTGACAATTCTCTTAATACTATTTCCGTAGATATTGGCATATCTACCAATGACAATGTGTAGAGGTGTTAGGTCTGGAATGTTCTCCATTGCTGCTGTTGAACAGGCTCTCATGGCTCCTGTGATGCAGATGCATGCCACTCACTGTATTTTGCACAGATTTTCCTTTGCTATACGTTGCTTTAGTTATGGGACTCGATGCATATTAAATTAAATCTATCGAAAAAAATGTGTGTGCACTATGTGCGCATAATATAGTGAAACTTGTGATGCTTGTGATGCAGATGCATGCCACTTTCTGTATTTTGCACATTTTTCCTTTGCTATACGTTGCTTTAGTTATGGGACTCGATGCATATTAAATTAAATCTATCGAAAAAAATGTGTGTACACTATGTGCGCATATAGTGAAACTTCTTATTAACAGCTATTAAATTAAAGGATTTGAAGGACATGTTTGAAAAAGTGTAGTTTGAAATGTTGAAAAAGTAATAAATTAAAGATTAATAAATAATTTGATTTACTTCCACAAAATTTGTATTAAAATGACTGTTTGTCCGTCTGAAGACTCCATTCGGGTACCTCTATCCACGTGCCGAGTTTGATTCTAATCAACCCATAATTAAGAGAAAATTCTGATGATTTCATCCATTTAGAGGCATCAGTCCGAAACGTCGAGGGCGTCATCCTGTAGCAATTATCCCCAATTATGCCGAAATCGATCCACATTTGTCTTCGATATCATATCTTTAGTCCCACCCAGATGAAGATGTAAACGAAAACGTCGTATCCAAATTTGATGGCGATCGGACGACATGAACTTTTGACATTTCTTACGTCAAAACTAACTGTCACAGTGGAGATGGAGAGCTGACCTCTGGGGAGCCGTCTCAGATGCTGGCTTTTGCCAACGGCCTGAGACTGTATGACGAGTTATAACTCGTTATAACTCAACAAATGTTAATAATAGAGAATAGACTTACCTGTACTTGGAAGATTGTATGCGTATCGTCGAGCATCTGCACCCGAATGGCGAGCATTTTCCCACCCTTTTTTGGAGTGGCTGGTGGCGTACGAGCACCCGAATCTACACCGGCCGGTGTGGACAGCGAGTGGTGCATCGTGTGTCCGGTTATGCTGTCCACACTGCTGGAGAGCGCCCCTGTAGAACCGTGACCGCTCGTACCGTCCATCTTATGTTAGCGATTGAGTTTATTATTCCTGAAACAAATAAGAACAATAAATAAATCAGATCAATAAATAAATGGGAGAATAAAAAAAATATGGAATGGGGATATCACCAAACTTGGCAATGGACTTTTCAATTTAGCATTTTCAAATATTTCCTCTAATTCCTTCTTGCTGGAAATATTGCTTTGCTATTTTCCAGGTTTAGGCAATAAAAAAAATTTCCACGTTCATGCTCCATAATATTTTATGTACTAATGTAACGTTAATTTAAACGCGTGACTTAAATTGCATTTAATAATCTTTATTGCATGCATATAACTTTTCATTTACTTTGATTTTTCCAATGTACCTATAGTTTATGCAAAAACTAAATAGGTATAACTGTATTCATTGTTATATTTTTAGCCCTATGGTCATAATATAATGCGTAGCGAAATGGTGGTCAATATAAGGTGTGGTGTGTGGTATATTAGATCACCAATTATCATATTATTGATTATTTAAAAAATAGCTAAAGTTCATAGCTATATTTTCATATTTTAAATAGCATTTGAAGCGTCGTTAGTTGTTAGTTTTTAAATTCGTCGTTTTTAAATTGGTTAGTTTAGCATGTAAATAGTAATTGACAAACCTACAGTTTATAGTACCTATAGTTTATGCAAAAACTAAATAGGTATAACTGTATTCATTGTTATATTTTTAGCCCTATGGTCATAATATAATGCGTAGCGAAATGGTGGTCAATATAAGGTGTGGTGTGTGGTATATTAGATCACCAATTATCATATTATTGATTATTTAAAAAATAGCTAAAGTTCATAGCTATATTTTCATATTTTAAATAGCATTTGAAGCGTCGTTAGTTGTTAGTTTTTAAATTCGTCGTTTTTAAATTGGTTAGTTTAGCATGTAAATAGTAATTGACAAATATTTAATAAATGAATATGCGAAGAATGATTTATGGTATGGAAGATGAATGCTTTATGGTATGGAAGATGAATGCTTTATGGTATGGAAAAAAATGAATGTTTTATGGTATGGAAGGTTGGACATTGAAAGCAGCTGCCATTAATAAACTAGAGGCTTTCGAGATGTGGCTATATCGCAGAATTCTGAAGATACCTTGGACGGCTAGGTTAACAAATGAGGAAGTTCTGAGACTTGTCAATAGACAGCGCGAATTGTTTGAATTGATTAAGAAGAAAAAAACCGCATACCTGGGGCACATAATGCGAAACTCCAAATATCAATTCTTGCATCTGTCAATCGAAGGCAAGATCGAAGGCCGGAGGGGTATCGGAAGGAAGAAAATGTCTTGGCTGAGAAATGTTAGACAGTGGACAAGCCTACACGATGTACAGTCGTTAATAAACACCGCCAGGAATAGAGAAGCGATGGAAAATGTTATCGAAGGAGAATATGTGAATACTTTTTTATTCTTTTTAAGTTTTTATTTAGTATCAATATATTCTCCTGATGACGATGTAAATATAATTATTTATTAGTAATCTTTAGATTGTGCTTCAATCTTATTCTGTACTACTTTTGTACCAACAAACAATTAAGGCGGATTCTCACGACTGGCGTACTTGACAAGTACGCCAATATTTCCGTACTTGGCAAGTATCCCCACCAGTCCCCACTTTGTACTACATTGGCAAGTGTACTTGGCAAGTACGCCAATATTTGCGTATTTGCCAAGTACCCCTACAATCCTTGGCAAGTAAACAGTATAGTCGCATCGATGGATACTGGTCGTCCGGAAATTGTCGTTCCTAGTGATTCTTTTTTCTTCTTAAGTTCTTTTACTGTACACTGCAATACGATTTCTATGTTCTTTATGTTTGGCCATCCATATAAAGGGCTCATTTTCGTATAAATCCCTAAATTCCAAAACAACATCATTTGAAGACTACACGGGAAAACCCAATTTTGTCCATTTTAATTGGAGCCGAGAAAAATGCAATTTAGTGTTTTTAAAGAAATATGTTATTTTCGGTTGAATAATTAGAAAAATATTTATATTACTACCAATTCTGAATTATTAATATTGTGAATTATCGCCATATTCTGAAATATTGAAATAAAAATCTAAATAGATAATCTAAAAAAAATAGTCAAAATGCAAAACAAAACAGGAGAAAACCAGAGATGTTCAATTAATTAAAGGTTGTATAAAACCTAAATCTAAACTATTATTTTTTTTTTGTTGAAAATTTATATTTAAGTGGGTTTTTATTACAATATATAAATTTATAACCATATAGATAACGAAAAAGATATTCCGTATATACGTACATAAATTAATTACTTATGTGTATACCTTTAAGATTGTTACATAAGGATAATATTTTTCTATCGATCGTATCAGATGATGTTTTTGAGAGATTTGTTGATTCATCTATGTTTTTCGGTCAGTCGAGATTATTGTTGTTTATTGTAAGCTTCGGCAAGTTTCGAGCGGAATACATTTGTTTGTGTTTTTGATTTTCAACGTTTATTTTCTGTAATATCCCTTGTTTTAATAATATAATACTAATTGCAAGATGCATGCTTGTCGCCCATGCGTAAGTACATCTCTGGTTTTTGCCATCTACGCGTGGACTACTCTGGTTTTTCTTTTGTACGGCAAAATAACCAAGCTGTAATATCTCTGGGACTAAGCGTATTGTTGCTTTTTTTGTCGAATGACGTTAACATTTGTCTATAAAGTTTTATCTTGATTTCTATGAAAATGTGACATATCTGGTTTTTCCCGTGTAGTCTTCATTTTTCCACTCCATTATTGCTGTGAAAACGACTTAAGGCGGATTCTCACGACTGGCGTACTTGACAAGTACGCCAATATTTGCGTACTTGGCAAGTATCCCCACCAGTCCCCACTTTGTACTACATTGGCAAGTGTACTTGGCAAGTACGCCAATATTTGCGTATTTGCCAAGTACCCCTACAATCCTTGGCAAGTAAACAGTATAGTCGCATCGATGGATACTGGTCGTCCGGAAATTGTCGTTGCTAGTGATTCTTTTTTCTTTTTAAGTTCTTTTACTGTACACTGCAATACGATTTCTATGTTCTTTATGTTTGGCCATCCATATGAAGGGCTCATTTTCGTATAAATCCATAAATTCCAAAACAACATCATTTGAAGACTACACGGGAAAACCCAGTTTTGTCCATTTTAATTGGAGCCGAGAAAAATGCAATTTAGTGTTTTTAAAGAAATATGTTATTTTCGGTTGAATAATTAGAAAAATATTTATATTACTACCAATTCTGAATTATTAATATTGTGAATTATCGCCATATTCTGAAATATTGAAATAAAAATCTAAATAGATAATCTAAAAAAAATAGTCATAATGCAAAACAAAACAGGGGAAAACCAGAGATGTTCAATTAATTAAAGGTTGTATAAAACCTAAATCTAAACTACATATTTTTTTTGTTGAAAATTAATATTTATGTAGGTTTTTATTACAATACATAAATTTATAACATACCTATTGATAACGAAAAAAATATTCCATATGTACGTACATAAATTAATTACGTATGTGTATACCTCTAAGATTGTTACATAAGGATAATTTTCTATCGATCGTGTCAGATGATGTTTTTGAGAGATTTATTGATTCATCTATGTTTTTCGGTCAGTCGAGATTATTGTTGTTTATTGTAAGCTTCGGCAAGTTTCGAGCGGAATAAATTTGTTTGTGTTTTTGATTTTCGACGTTTATTTTCTGTAATAACCCTTGTTTTTATAATATAATACTAATTGCAAGATGCATGCTTGTCGCCCATGCGTAAGTACATCTCTGGTTTTTGCTATTTACGCGTGGACTACTCTGATTTTTCCTTTGTACGGCAAAATAACCAAGCTGTAATATCTCTGGGACTAAGCGTATTATTGCTTTCTTTTTTCGAATGACGTTGACATTTGTCTATAAAGTTGTATAGCTATCTTAATATCTATGAAAATGTGACATATCTCGTTTTTCCCGTGTAGTCTTCATTTGTCCACACTCCATTTATTGCTGTGAAAACGATTTAGGTATGTCGCCAATATTGAAGTTATTAATGTAAATTTGATATTACATAATCTATTATTGTTTTACCGTTTTAAATTATCAGCAATTAACTCGAAAAACACTACGATCCGGAAATAAATCGGACATACGCTATACAGTAACATTATTTACGCAGTCGTTTTTTTGCGCCTCGGCAAGTGTAACAAGGCTGGCCAAGTATACTTGGCAAGTGTACGATTAATCGTTTGACTCGGGCTATATTTACCGGCAGAGAGTGGGGACGCGACAAGTGACCAAGGAACCCGTTCTCACGACATGGCAAGTATATTCCAATAACAAATGTTTGTCAAGTACGCCAGTCGTGAGAATCCGCCATTAGGTATGCCGCCAATATTGAAGTTATTAATGTAAATTTGATATTACATAATCTATTATTGTTTTAACGTTTTAAATTATCCACAATTAACTCGAAAAACACTACGATCCGGAAATAAATCGGACATACGCTATAACAGTAACATTATTTGCGCAGTCGTTTTTTTGCGCCTCGGCAAGTGTAAACAAAGCTGGCCCAGGCTGGCCAAGTATACTTGGCAAGTGTACGATTAATCGTTTGACTCGGGCTATATTTACCTACAGAGAGTGGGGACGCGACAAGTGACCAAGGAACCCGTTCTCACGACATGGCAAGTATATTCCAATAACAAATGTTTGTCAAGTACGCCAGTCGTGAGAATCCGCCTTTATGTGTATGTTTAATTTTAAAGTACAATAACACTCAGTTATTTAGACTTACGGAAATAAGTACTCAGCTTTCTTTCACTTAAGCACTAAATTGCCGCGACAGAAAAAAGGGCTCAACGTTTCAAAAGGTACTTATTTTTGTAAATGGTATAATAGGGGATTTGCATTGTTTCTAGAAAAAAAAACCAAATCAGAAATAACTAAGTAAATTAAAAATTAAATCATTTGATTTAACTAAGAACAAGTCAATAAGTG